TAAGCCGGGATCACGTATTCCCCCAGGTCTAGCGCAGCTCCTGCCTGTGCCTGGCCTACCACAGAGAGGGGAGCACAGCCTTGCCGCCCCATGCTGCGCCCACCTGCCCCTAGGGCTCTGCTCCCAGCCCAGGGTTCCCCCTGGCTCTTGACGGACTGCGAGGGTTTCCGCCAGCGTCCCGGGAGGGTGGCGTGGCCGAGCCCTGCGCAGTGTGTGCTGAATAGTGGGTGTTGTGCAAGTCGCTGCTTTTCCTTTCAGCTCGTTAGTCAGCGATGGCAGCATGACGTCCTCTCCCCTTTTATCGCTGCCGCAGCAACCCACCCTGGCAGGAGCTGGGATAAGACGCCAGCTCGGCGAGGCAGGAGCTGTATAAATCCACCCTGTGTTTTGCATGTTTCATAGACTCTTGTTCGGAGGTGGATTAACTGACTTGTGAGCTGCTGGAGGAGCAGCAGCGCTGCCCGGCTCGCCCATCCCTGAGCTGGGGAGGGCTGGAGGGGGCTGCGTGCCGCTGGGCCAGGGGAGGAGCTGGCCCCAGAGTGATGGCAGCAGACGGTTACAGATGAGCTGGGACCAGGACCACGGGGTCTGTAGCATTTGGTGGTGCAGCAGCAGCTGGGAGGGAGAATTCCCCTCTGGACATCACAGTTCGGGCTCCCAGCACTGCTGCAGCTGCTCTGGTAGCTGCTTGGTAGGAACTGGAGCAAACCAGCAATTTTCTGACAGAGAATTGGGTCATTTGGGGTCAATTTGATGAGACCAGAGCTGGAACTGGGCTCTGGAGATAGAATTGCTCGGCTGGAACGGTTTCAGGCTCGAGGAATGCTGCTGTCTGACAGCGCTCTGCACACCCAGCCTGGACTGTGCTGCAAGCTGCTCGGATGGGAGGGTTTGGGCACAGAAGAGGCTGAATCTCTGTCTGTGGGTATTTCTCAAGCAGACAATATAAATTATTTCAGTGTGGTAAGGGGGAACAGAAGCCAGCAGAGAGCAGGCTGGCAGTAAGGAGCTGCCTGTGTGACTCACCGCCAGGTTAGAGGCGTTTGTAAAAGTGCAGAGAGATGGGTGGCAGCCAGTGCTGTCACAGAGAGCATTGTGCAGCCCAGGGGAGCCTCAGCGTGACCAGGGCTGCGTGGCCCATCCCAGATCCACCGAGGTGGGTTGCTGCAAGCCCAGTTGTTGCCCTTGAGGAGGCACAGACAGGCCCCAGGGTCTCCTTCTTGGGGGCCCAGCGGCCATTCCCCTCTGAGGGATGGGAACTGCCACTCGCTGTGGCCAAAGCTCCTTCCCCTCCCTCCCCATCCATCCCTGCCGAGGCCCAGCTGCCAGAGCTGTGCTGAGGCGGCTGCGTGGGGACAGAC